TGCAATACGTAATCAGAGCATGGTAACATCTCAGTTTGTACTAGTTGGTTTGCGCAACAGTCAAAACCGCCGTCTTTGTTTATATGAGAACCATATCCCGCGCATGCACGGCGCGACGACTACCGCATTTTAAAGCGGGGTGTCGTCACTTGCGCATGCGTCAGATGGTCATACCGTGTCATTGTTTACAAACAAACATCTACCCATGAACTTTTGCGTTATTAGCTTCCCTCGCGTGCGCAGGTGACGACCGCCCCGCTTTAACCATGTCTCATTTCATTTCATTTTATTCCTCAGCTCCCGAGAGCGAGGGTTCTTTGTATTTATGTTGGTGACCTTCGCTGTGTGATGAGAGTGATAAGTCTTTTGATCAGTAAAATAATTTTAGAAATGTGAAAACTAGAGTGACTGTGAAATGAAGGTTGGTTTTAAATATTAAATATGAACGGGCAGTAAATGTAGCCAGAATGAATCCGGGGGTGAAAAAACGTCACAATACATCCGTCATGGCGGCTGCAAAGTGCGAACAACTATGGATGCAGTTTGTGTGAATGGCCGGGGGGACATGCACATTTTGTGCTTCACTAACAGTATTTGCTGCTTTTTGTGCAATGAAGATTAATACAAGAAGTGCTGCCAAACGACATTTCCTGCTTTTAAAGAAAACAACCTTGGGACGTTTATCTTGAGAAATTGAGAAGACGAAAATGGACATACTTCTCAAGGGTATTATTTGAAGAGGAAAACCGCTGCTTTATCGAAGAGCAAAACTCAATATAATTGACCAATTACCCCCCCCCCCCACACACGCATTAATGATTGGCCTAGGCTGGTTGAAGACGATTTTAAAGAGGTGACTGTCATTCGCCGTGACGCCGGACTTTTTATTCTGGTTTATACAACACTTGTAGAGACATAGTTTTTAAAGTGTCAAACAGTGAAGATACGTATTTGAGCAAAATGGTCAGCATTTCTAAACCTCCTGTTGCAGACCCTGTTATAATATTAGGTTCAGTTGTATATCAGAATACAAGCTTGTCTTGGCCCACCAATATTGCTGGAACCGTTTGAAGTTTTACCATCACATTACCGTCTTACATGTTACTGGCAGGATAGTTTAATGTATTATTTGTATTGGTACAATGTGGAAGAGGGGTTTATTGTCAACATTTATACGGGTGCTTGTATGCAACTACTGTAAAGGGGTTAATTATTCACTGGGTTTTAATTTTGCTTATTTCGCTAAATTAAAACCCAGTGAATAGGTACAATTGAGCATAGAACATATTATATAAATGATAAAACCGTTATGTGAATATACCTGAAATGCTAAATCAGTGAAATTTAAACCCAGCGAAAATTAATCATTTTACAGTATACCAAATTTGACTTGTGCACATCCTTTTTATGTGTTTAAAGAACATCGCGATGTTCTTTTGGAATTGTTAAATCTTGGTATTCTTCCCAAACGTTTTTTATGACTCGTATGCGATTAAACAATTATATTTAAGGTATACTCGAAGTGAATCTCGGAACTATGCATAAATGTTATAAATGTTCACAGATTTTCATTATTTATTGTTCATAGTTTTTTTTATATTACCTCATACCTTGCAAATAAAAGTGTGCAAGGAATCATGGGAGGAAACGCTGTGATAACTGTCATAAAGGTGATTGACAGGTCATACTTGTTACAACTCTGGAAGGAGACTTGGAATCTACCAGGCGTGCTTGTGATTTACATAACAAAAAATCTACGATCCACTGACTTACTTAGTACGTGAGTGCCTGCATGTCATCGTGAGAGAGCTGCCCACAAGATCACATTCTGATTGGCTTCTCTGGAAATCAAGGTGGTGTGCCTGAAACTGGACCATTTATACCCTATAATTATGCTATATTGAGAACAGTTGTGGTTCACTATTTCAATCGAGTACTCTGTGTTGCTGCTGCAATATTGTGAGACAAGTGAAACAGGCTTCAATCATCTTTCTGTGAGACTTGTATGAACTGCTCTGCGATCTTCTACTATCAGCGGTTACCTCAATTTCCACATCCTGATCCACATATTCATTATTATTCTGTGCTTTGCCTCTTATCATTATTTTGAGAAGTATTAAAGCCAGGAGCTTTAACTTAATATGTTGGTGTGTGCGTGTGTGTATATCATTTCCAGTACTATTGTCTTGTCTACCCCATTCTAGCAGTGAAAAAAAAACTATTTAGTGCAAGTTATATGGGCGTTCTCAACATGCCGTGCATTGTGACAATTGTTCATAATTATTTACAATAATAAAACAGATTTCTTTTCTGAAACCATTTCCATATGATTGTGTGATTGCTCCCCCCTTCCCACACATGGTGATATGTACGGGTATGTGTGAGTATGTTTCATGGATTAATAGGCCACTCCTTTGCTTCAATTTCAACTATAACTCTGGAACTTTCACTTTCATATTTCGATATCCCACAATGTCTCGATTGCGTGTCTGGTAATTCTAACTAACTACTATTTTGCAAAATGTGCCCAGCCTTGCTTCTACCAGTCATTTAAGTCAACTCTTACATTGTACTTGGCAGTGAAGGTTAAAGCAGATATATTGTAACCGTCTTTGTGCTGAGGCAGTTATATCTCATCACCAGCTCTCTTGTACATTTCATTGGATTTCACTTTGCAAGGGGTTAACTTGAAATTCATCTTACTGATACTAGCAAGTGTACACCATACGGTTCAATATAAAAATATATACTCTGTGGCAAGACCATCAATCTTACCAACACTGGCGACGCCAAATATAGTACTCAATACTCGATCTTTTTCAAAGTTAATGAATTCAAACCTTGTGCACGACCACTACTCATTCACCAGAATTAATTTCACAGTATGAGTGCAAGTCGTACATTATGACCTTGAACCTCTCCCTGTGATCTTATTGTATCTCACTTTATATATGCGACATATTTATGCAGGGAATTTCAACAGTCGCTCTTTAAGTGTGTCATTATGATCAGCAAATCGTCTAATAAAGGTGAAGACTGAGACTAAGGAATGTAACTGATTTACATATTGCTCGGAACATGTGCCTGTTTAGCACATAACATGAACGACTTCTTTTCTCCATATTATCTTTCAACATTATGGTCTATTTTACTATTTTAGTCGGAATAATACACGAACCCACTTGTCCGACATATTCACTCTAACACGTAAAAAGGTGTAATGAGTGTGTATTCACTGTGTGCTAACTGAAAACACAAATTATCAGTAGGGTCCCATTAAAAAAAGACGCCGTAATTTGTTTCGAAATAACCGATACCTTGATCTTTTCAACTAAATACACACATTAATAATGACCATGTTGCAAGTTGAGTATCATCGTATACTCACTTTGCATGGTTACGTAAGTACGATAATATACCGGCTAGTATATACCATTGTTATATTTGTGATGCAGATTATTCGGCCACGTGTTACACGACATCGGCTCTCTCATTTATATGGAAATGAAATATTCTGAATATTTATATTTATTGAAAATTGTCGCAATGCATTTTGCCATTGTCTTCACCTGAAATGCTTCGATTTTGTATTTAACTGAATAGTTGGAGTATAACATTCTTAGCCAAAACAAAATTATATAGATCCTAACAGACAACAGTGGAAGATACATCGACCTGATCATAGTTTCACACGTGAGGTAATACATCCATCATACTGAGACAACGATCGTACGATACACGCCTTAATATATCTCACACATCGTTTGACAAAATATGGTTTCTTCCACAATGGACGCAAAGGTCAACCAATGGTTAATATATTTAACAGATATGTGTGCATGAATTTAAACATTTCAACTAAACTGTAACACTAAAATAAGGAGTAAAAATATCTGATGACATCATAGCTATTTGCAACAATATAATTCGTACATGACATAGGAAGATATTATAACAAGCACCTAGAACAAAAAACTACAACATTTTCTATTTTAATTTTTCAAGTTTGACTTAACTTTTGTGATCGTTAATGACGTTAGATAAACCTTAATGTACCAGAATAAAACATTTCCATAATATGCAAATAAAATATAGTAATGAAGTGTGTGACTCTATCAGTTAACACTATTCTTAATCAAGATTTACTATTGATTTAAGATTGGACAGGGTTATAAAACACAATATATATATATATATATATATACGTTAATAACTAATAGAAATAGATATTTGAAATACCCAACAACGTCCTATTATAACGTTAAACAGATCGTATTCGAAGTGTTTTTAACGTTCTATACTCAATTGATGCCCTGCTTCTGACTGCTAATTCCCAGTCAAATCTCTGTCATATGATCATTAAATAATCGTACTATAGCTTGTGTATAAATTCTCAGTTAATGCGCTACGCTTTAACATTGAAAAATATCCTGACATAGACCACTCACTTAGTTGCCTTTCAACTCAAGCCACTTTCTTCTTTTCACCTAAGCGAATTCCATGCCGATTTGTTGCTTTCAGAACATGTCGGTTTCACAGTTTGATGTATACAAGCTCTCGGACTTGATAGCATACTTCACATCTTGGTATAGAACACTATCTAGGAAAAGTCATTGAGTACACTGAATGATCTAAAAAAAACGAACTCAATACGAAATTCCGACAAAAATGTGTATTTGTAAATAGCCTGAACGTCACATATATCGGTCTGCAGTCTTTGTTTTATCACTTTTCGTTTTGTCTATACGTCACATACGCCATATATTGTATTCTGGACACAATTTTGCACATTTCTAAGAATTTTAATACAATTCTTCTTCAATTTTAGACCAAATGAATAATAATAATTGGCTACAGGTCTTGACAACAAAAACAAATATGCCGGTTTATTTCGCGAAAGGTGACTTTAGCGTTCTGATGGTAAAATATCACCAAGATTTTTATACACGTTGATTCATGTCTGTATTATTATACTTAATACTTTTCGATCGACTTCAGTTTTATGCTAATACAGAACGTTTCAATATTTCATCTTCCGTGTTTCTGTGTAGTGCATCGATGTAATCCATGTCAGTGTCGTTCGTGTCCGGGTTTGTGCTCGACGCTTCACGTATGGTTGGCTCTGTCAGCGGTATACAGTGATGATGTCGTCTCATGCTTGTGCTAGTCTGGGAGTTGAAACTCTTCCCGTCCGTCATTGCCAGGGTAATCGTGCCTCGTTCACGGAAACGGAAATCATTGGACGGTGCGGCACAGCAGCAGGTAAATACCTCTCTGAAACGACGTCTGAAATTTTCACTCATGAAGGCGTAAATTATAGGATTCACGCAAGAATTGGCGTATGACAGACAATTACCGAATAGCTGAATCGCATAAGTAACCATAGTATCTGGGTAATTCACATCCAACCGTGACCAGATATTCATGATATGCACAGGCAGCCAACAGAATGCGAAGATCAGCACAACAACGCATACCATTCTGGTTTTACGAATCTTTTGACGTTGTCTTGCTTGCTGCGCTTTGGACTGGGTTCGGTAGAAGAGGGTTGACGAATTCCACACCAGGTGCATGATCATACCCATGCACACAGATATTATCAGCAATGGTGCCAAGTAAGCTGCCAAGCACATGTACACATACCAGCCGACGTTCCATGAATGCGACGGCCACACTTCCACACAGAAAGGCTTGATTCCGTACCAGTCGTAGTATACCACTTGCCGATAGAGTGCCACGGGAACACAGCATAAGGCAGACGCTAAAAACAAAAAGAAAGTTTAAATATATTTGTAATGTAATTGTGATATATAAAACGTAAGCCATATAATGGGTCAGTATGAAAAGACACATTTACATGTGACGCCTATGATATTCTGTTCGATGGTATGGTGGTTAAACGCAGTGTATTTTATATGCCTGGAAAATTTCCCTTGGGATTCATTAGCGCGTCGCAAATAATACCGCCCTCAAAAATTACGGGAATGGTTACCGGTTACCGACTTGTGCATATCCACATTTTATATTAACTACATATTTGCTGCTACCGACTTCACATTTGATTTGATGTTAATATTTAGGAGTCAGAATGACTAATTACTGGCTAAACAAAACTGAAAGTACACTGAAACTCACATCTAATCTTTCTCCTTAATGTCTCTTACTACTATATATATACAATAATTTTAGTAAAAAAAAAACAATTTATCACGGCGCTGAGTGTGTTCCACTTTTTTTCAGAGCAACACGTGTTCCCCATATGTAATAACATTTTGATCAGACGAAAGAAACGCAAATTATAAGATGTAAATCTACTGCCGCGGGTTTATTAGACGGTGATTCGAAAACAATTCCAGAGTGATATGAGTTCAATTCAATATAAATTGCTTGCGGGTTTGATGTCTTCACTTTGTATTCCCAGTGCTTTGTTATAAACATTATATAGTGTATTATTTTGTATACCGCTGTTAAAGTTGAATATAACGTCGATACAGTGCCCAGATATTAATGATTCCCGTGAAACAGCAACTCACTGGTTGTAAAACCAATAACACAGTAACTTATTACACTGCCGGGAACCTAATTAAGACACATTTTTATATGCATCAATATATTCCAATGAGAATACTATAATGTCTGCATATAACCCACTGCACTGAATATTGAAGGTATGTGAGAATTCATAACCTAATATTCGTCTTAGTGTTACGTTATTAGTCTAGAGGGTCTGGTACATATTCGTAGCTAGGAAATCGTCAAACTGTTTTATGATAGATATTCATTACACTGATGTTAATAAGGAGAGTGAGAATACCAAATAGTGTGCACTCAAATGATGACTAAAGATGCTGGCGGCGTTAAGCCATCTGTTTACACAAGTTTATTACATACATTAAACTAGGGTACGATGCTTAGTTTATCTATCAAATATAAATGCTGTTGTCCTGTAGTGCTTTTTTATACTCACATATTCCAATCGTACACAGTCACGGGAGTTGACAAAAACAGAAATGTGGTATTCATTTAAACTTACAAATATTTCCTGTAATCGTTTGAATTATTAGTTTTTTTATTGAACTGTCGTAATTGGCGTTGACATAAGAGTTGTCGCGGTTTTGGACGTTTTATTGTAACAGCTGCATTATGATTGTACATTGACAAAACTAAAATAAAATGTGAAGTGATAAATATATATATATATATAACGTGTATATATCATTGCATATCCGTGAAATGATCGTGTTTTGCCCACACGTGTATATATCAATGCATATCTGTGAAATGATTGTGTTTTGCCCACACGTGTATATATCAATGCATATCTGTGAAATGATTGTGTTTTCCCGTCACGTGTATGTATATATCATATCATATATGAATGTCATCGTTTATATCTATCGCCGGGATACAGAAACATATTTTGTTTGTTGTAACTGTTATTGCAAATTACGTATGACCGCCTTGAGGATAGACATGGCATTTATAACATGTATGGCATTTATAACATGATAAACTGTTGATTGGATTTACCAGACATGGACATTTGGAGTGGTTTTTTTGCCAACTTCATTCTTACTAAACTTATTAAACTATAGTACGTGAGTGAGTAAATATTTTAGTATCGCAATAATTTTCTCTGTAGTAATACAAATCCTCTTTCATAATCTGTAACCGAAACATATATATATCTATATCATCAACGATAAAATTGGGTTTACTGTCTAATATAATATGACAATGGCCATGTTTGGGAACATTTTATCAACAGATTCATTATTTCCTGTAAGGTACCCTTACATTGTGTAATTACATTTTGTTGAAAAGGCACAATTCCATTATGGCACAAAGTATTGCATTCGCTGACAACGTGCAAACATAATACAAACAACTACTGATAGAGTATACGCGATAAGAATGCTAATAGCCCCGGGTAGTGTCTGAGAAGATGCTATTATATTTGATTGAGTCTGCATATACTTGATATAGTTCTCGTTGAATTTATTTCGACCCTTAGAATCTCTGAGAATAAGTTACTCTCAATGAAAAATCTCTCATTTAGCATGTAGTGACTTCTACGTTTGAACATTGTCTCTCTACAATGTGCGATTATCCTAGGAAATATAGATGAAAATAGACTCAGATTCGTCCGAGACATGACCAAGGCACGTTTTGGATTTTCGGATAAAACTGACTGCCAGTCAACAAATCGTATTGAACAATGAAGAAAAATATTGTGTACGATTTACGATTGTCATGGAAACAAAAACAGGGCAATGTAAACATACGTAATTCATTCGAATTGTTTGAATAAGTTTCAACGCATTTCAGTGCAAAACATATTAAAATAGTGTTCCCTAATTATTGGCAAATATTCAGATTTTTAAAATAAAAACTGTAAGTGTGTCAATGTCGACGAGCGCTCCCTCGCGACACCTCGCCGAGGACAGTAACGCCGTTTAGATTCTGCTGGAAAACAAACGTGTAGTATCATATGAAGGCGAACAAATGTTCTGAGATTTAGCCAGCGGTTACGCCCCAAACTCTGACGAGGAAACTGTGTTGTCCGCAAGACACCGATAGCACTGTTACATTGTCACTTACAGTGAATGTCTCTACAACTTTTCTTTTAAATTCTATTGCTGTTTCCATCACAACGGTACCATATGACTGTTTTTGGAGTTCACAATTAACGGCAGGACATTTCAAGTTAAAGTCAACATTTCTGTCAATTCCAAACCAGTCTTTTTATTATTTATGACAGTGATTTCGATTGAACACCGAATGATGCGTTTGTGTGATAAACACCTTAATCATTTGCTTATATTCACGAAAACAATATATTAATACTATATTATTTTAATTTATGCATACCACTGTATAAATGTTAATACAAGTTCAGGGTTTAGTGTTTAAATCACGTCAGTGTTATTCCCTATGCACATTACAGTAGGAAACGTATCACCTGACTTTAGGTCATTTCATCACACAAAACATAGTGCCTTAATATTTACCTACATAGGTCAATTGATGTCGTTAGTCCGAGATAAGCAATAGTTTAGATTTAGCGTTTTTATTATATAAGGTTCTCTTGTTCGATATTCCCACTCGTCGACTGTGGCGACTCTCGAGAATATCGAACATTAAAGCTCGTGATACGACGCTGTATTTTCTTGTTGGCGGCGAACAACCTCTAAGTAACCTATGGTAAAACCATTTCAGAGACCTTGTTAACTATGGTTATGATTTATAATCGATTCTCAGTTGATATAGCGCGTTTTTTAACAACAGTAAATTACGAAATATATGAATTCCTGCGGGGCGTTTTGCAACAATGATTAAATGGTGCTATTACAATCCTATTTCAAAATAATTTTACATGCAGTCTCAAAACGAATTGCTTGAGCTTACATTAAACTGCACTAGGATACTCGTGTAACCTTTCAATATTAAATCGGCGTTTTCCTGTGCGAATTAAATTGAGGTAACTTTGCTGATCTGCGTTTGGCATTAATGCATTTCAAGAATGAAATATACATGAAAGGTATAGCACGCAACACACCTTAAATAAAACGATTGGAATAAAAATAACTGTTCATCTAATAATTTTTATCATTTACTCATGTCATTATCTATCAACAAATATATGCATAAAATTAAATCGCCGATACCAGACCATGTGTCACACAAGATAATCTATAGACTGCACGTTAAAAACTCTAACATGGTTTGTTTCATTGTTAATCAAATCGAAAACATGGCTGTTTGCGGTAATTGACAATTAAGTAGTCAAACAGCCGCATCACATTAGATTACATTATGTAATAGGTAATTAACTTGTTTGGTAGATTAGGAAACGAGTTCATTGTCTGCCTTATCACGCGGCATGATTGGTTAAAAACGAAATATATGCAAAAAATAAGCATCAGTTGCAACCAAGTGTGATTGTGTTCCTGTATTTCTTTCTTTCATTCAAGCAGTGTCTGTCTAGTCGTCAATATGGTCGGAAAACGGGATGACGATACAAGACTGTAGTTATGATAGTATCATTTGTTCTAGGTGACCTATCGTTGATCAATCAAAATGAAATACCACAAGAAAACTTTGAACCAATTCCAAGGAAAATCTTGCGATCAATTTTCCATGCCACTACCGGACTCGGAATTGTTCATTGCGATACGCGTTTTCAACATGAGGTCATGGTTTGACTTAGTATACACCAGGTCGCACGCGAATTTATAACAATGGTTTATTGACTTCTACGAGTTTACTGCGGCATCTAACGACAATTAAATCCACTGTCACGTCTGTCTTTGTGGAAATAAACTTTGTTGCTAGAAGCTTGCAGAGTTTCGTGTAATTTGTTGTATGCTACTAATTGTAAGATTCTTTGTCTCCCAAAAGTTAATTACAGCTTATTGCAATGTTACTAAAATAATTCACTAATTTAAAACGTCATGAGCAATATTGATTCACTACATTTCATGACTAGATTTTAATTGAGCGTATGTCCGTGCAGTTTATAATATGTTACACTAAATATCATTATTATAAATGATGTGCACCGTGGTATTTTGATAAGCTATCGTATGGCATTTTATATCATAAGTCCGAACAAAATCCCAAATATTGATGACTGTTTTCAAATGATATTAGCTTACAGGTGGACATGAACATCATGCCCTGGCTTCTATAAGTACGATTGATGTATGCTTGTTCTTAAAGGGCAGAAGTCGTCAAGCCGCGCATGTACGAGATATAGTG